CGTAAAGAACATTGAAAAGAAGAGCCTCCCAGCTGCGATGCGCCGGTCATCGCACTGTAGCCCATCGGAAATAAATAAACATTGCACAAGTGCAAATTACGAATTACTAGATCTGTCCTGTACCTTTTTCGCAGCGATACGTGACAAAATTTTATATAAAAGCCTAGTTAATATACCGCGTTATTTATAACAATATGTATAATTATCTCGTTTCATTTTTATAGAGCACAGGGTACGGCAACATAGTATAAAAAATTGCTATCATGAAAAAAATTAGAAAGATAGTCTCTCTCTTATGCACGACACATTGTGAGGATTTTGTATATTTTATCACGAAATAAATAATGAAGCAATGCGGGTTCTTAATAATATAATAGAGTGTGAATTTTCCTAAGTTCTTGCGGTCCTACATTGACAGAGAAAGATTGTTCCGGGCCATTGTAAGGGATCTTTATTTCGGCGGCAAGTAATTTGCGTTCCTGCATTGCTGCCGCCATCTCACGATTCGGATACACGGCGAAATTCGCTTCCGCCCTTCCACCTGGTGTGCGTTTGATAGCTTCGCGACGTACTTGAGCCTAACAAATATATTTTAAACATTCAGTAATTTACATTACATTAATTTTTTCACTATTTATTTATTTTTTATCTCCACTTACCACTAATTCATCAACTCGTTCTTTCAGTTGTATAATGTTTCTTTGACGTTCCAATAAATAATGATAAGACGTTTCGGGTACTTTACGCCTTAAATCAGGAACTGTTGGATATACCAAAGTCTTTTCTACATCCTGAAATATGAATAAATGTATTCATATGTATATATATATGAGAATATTTGGGTGTAATAATTAACAATGATTATCAAACTATAATTAATTACCTTGACGAGATCAGTAGTCTTCTTTCGTAATTCTTGAAGTTTTGTATCCAGAGATTTAAGATTCGTCGGCGATGGCAACGGTTCTAAACGATCTAACTTTTGACGCAAGATAGTGGACATTATCTTCTTCTTTTGCTGGTGCTCATTATTCAAAGCTTGCTTGAGAGCGTTTATTTCCTGTACATAATATTTGTTGTCCAAAGTACTCGTTATCGAAGTGCTTCCCATTATGCTGTCTGTGCCAGATACTGATATCGTTTTCTTGCCAATCGATTTCAGCTTTTCCTTTAATTGTCCCTTCTCTGTTTCTAAGCTATCGATATCGGTTTGAAGATGATCCATTGTTTCTTCGAATTCTTTTTCCTATCAAGAAAAACATGAAATCGATAAAGAAATATAAAGATATGATATATAATAGTGGGGAAAGAGATACCTTGCGTTTTAATTGATTTTGCGCCTCTTCTAATTTTCTCTTCAACTTCTCGACATTCATTTCGTGTTCATGCTGTTGTGTCGCAAAACGCTTCTCGGCCAACTCTTTCCGCAGTGTCATTTCAGATAATTCTTCTTGCTTCTCTCGTAAAGCTAATCTCGCCTCGCGTATGTCACTATCCCTTGCTTCGAGTTTTCTAATTTAAAAATGTCAAAAAATTATCTCAAAAAATCTTAAAACGGTAATTACATAAAGCTAATGGAAATGTACCTGCTGAGTATTTTCGTTTCTTCCGATTCCTTCCTAACAGAATTCGCTCTAGCCACAATTGGCGTTATTTGCTCGTTCTCCTTAGATTGCTGCTGACTTTGTGTTTGTCCGCTTATAGCTAATTCATTTTCACACTCGGCCATTTTCTGCGCCAGATTGGCCGCTAGTTGCTGTATTACCGTTAAACTAGCCTTGATAGTAGCTACGGGACCCAGATCTTCTGTATCGTATACTCTTTCGCTGGACGTTGCAGCCATCTCCTTCAATTTATCGGCCGGTAATCCCGTGTCTAAATCTGAAAAATTTATAAAAAATTGAATTTACTTCTAAAAATATTACAAAAATAAATTTTCCGAGAAAGTCTATCTGAAAAAAACCTACCGCCATTTTCGGTAATAGCATGCAAGGCACTCTTCAATAGATACTGAAGTGTCTTCGTAATCTTCACACCGTGTTGATAACATGTAGAAAATTGTTCGTTGCAATCTTTATCTAATCCTAAATTGGCGCCTACAGAAAATGCTGGACCAGCATGATCACGTGGTACTCGTCTTCTAGCTGATTTCAAATGCTGCTGGATCACCTCGCATGTCGTTTCAATATGCTGACAAAGTTTACCTTAAATATAAAGAATGCTATAGTAACATTTACATAAATCAATTTTAATTAACCAAATATTACGTACCTATATCAGCACCTTCTCCTTGTATCAATATTTTGATCGCCGCAGCATCAGTAGTTATGGCATCACATGTATTGCCCAAAGTTCTCGTGCCATTCACGATTAAGCGTGCCTGATTGACAGCTATACTTTCGCTGAAAAGCACGGAGAACATTGTGGCGAAGTATCCGCAACATTTCTCGATCGCGTCCATCGGCAAATTCTCGTCCAACTGATCTCTCTTAGCCAGCTCTATAAGTGAATCCAAAGACTTTTCCTGCGCCGCCATTTCCGGATAAGCCGCTCCCGCTTTAAGTAACATTTCCGAATTACATGAGTTTAAAGCTGACTCAAAGCAACCCAAGGTGGTTTGTAAAGCATACATATGCGAGCACAAACGAGATCTGAATGAATATTGCGCTACCGAATGACCTCTCACTACAGAAGTTCTGTAATAAAAAAAATTGAATATTGTACAAATGATCTAAATACAGCTTGCGAAAATAAGATTAGTAGTACCTGTCTATCTTTTCAATCGATCTGTACTTTTCTCGAACTTGCGAAATCAATATCTCCGTTTTTTGTGTCATCCTCGGTATTAATAAGAGCGTCAATATCGCGTCATGATCTCCGCCGCGAGTCAAAAATGCAGGAGGCATGAAGGACAGCAAATAACACACATGATTTCGTGCCTCCTCGGCGTCTAAGCGACGCAATTCAAGATCGACCGCTTTAGTTTGTGCTCGGGTCTCGGCAAATGTCTTCTGGAAGTCTAATATTTCCGCAAGTTGTTGGTCTGCACCTGAACCGTAAATGATATGAGAATTCATAAAAAAATAACTTAGTCAATAAAATTTTATATATTTCTATCCTATATTTCCTATATTACCTCGAACGTTAGTCTTAGTGGATTCCGTTGATTGAACTCGTTGCTGCAACTGCAAACATTGTTCTTGCAACTGATGCGTAAGTTCACGGAACTTCGTAATAGTTAATTCACGATCCGCCAAAGTCTCCAGCGCGGCGTCTCGATGTCGTTGGGCGTCTCGCGCTGCTCCAAGTGCAAGATCTAATTCCTCGCGAAGTTCCAGCTCTAATTCTTTGGACGATTCGGCCAATTGATCCGACATATCCTGAACAGATTTGTAGTATCTTATTCGTTATATATTATAGATTATATACGTTTCTTGCAATACAAAATATAGCGACTACGTACTTGCAGAGCTTCCAAATCTGCAACAGCCTCTTCCAGTTCAGCCACTTTTTCTTCCAACGCCATTTTCCTCTCGCCTAATACCTCGACCATTTCTTCGGCTCCTAATGCTGCATCGACCTAAAAGAAACGTTTAAGCATATAAATGTATACAAATTAATTATCCTTTCTTAATTATCCCCTTTTCTTGTTGCCTTTCCACTACTTATTTTCCACTACTTCCTCAACATTTTTTTCCTTTTCCTTACTGTTATTATCCACTTTTTTTTCATTGATATATTTTGTGATAAATTGTGAACATCTAAGAGAAGAGAAATTTTTACCTTCGCACGTGAATTTAAATTTTATTAATTGACGATTTGAGAACATAATTTTATGGCATATATATGTACTCGCCGACTTGCAACACTTCTTTTTTAATGAGTTTCGGAATACAGTCCGCTCACTGAGCGATTGTTCTTACTTATGGATCCGTAAATAAGGTAACCAATTGCTCGGTAAGTAGGTTACATTCCAAAAATCATAGAAAAAAAACTGTTGCAACTTTTTAGTCAGAGAGTGTACATCATCGACGATTGATGAGAACAACTTGCAATTGTTTTAGTTACACAAATAAATATGACGATTAAAACTTTTTTCAATTAATTTACTATTTCAGTTCAACTATTTTATTAACTTATTCTAATCGTTCAATAATTATAGTTACAATTTGGTTTAAAAAAAAAAATAACGTCGATCCACCAAGGCATGTCGATGTGACTTAATTTTTATATATTTTATTTTTTAATAATTGATTATGCGATTGCGAGGAGACATTGATTGGACGGAGATATCTTTATCACTACATGTGGAGAAATATTGGAGGAATGACAAGAGAAGTAGATTCTTCATAATTTTAATTATAGGAATTGTTATAAATTATATTTCAACATGTTATTCGGTACTTTTGTAATTTACGACTTTTTTTATTTATATATTTTTATGTTACTGAGAATGAGGATCGAACGTATAGCATTGTGTATTGAAATTATTGCAATATTAAAATTCATTTATTAGCACTAACATCCTGCATATCGTCGTAGCCTTTATCATTTAATTTGTTTTAAAATTTTGAGTCTAAGCATATTGATTTTTAGTTATTATATAAAATTAATGTTATATTAAATTAATGTTATTACAAATAATGTCATATAAATAATACGTACTTGTTCTTGTAGATCTGCTATCTGATGTTCCATTTCTTCGACCCGCGCCGACAACTTCTCTTTCGTGCGACCTAATTCCAAGATCTCAGATTTTTTCTGATCCATATCCTTTTGCAGTTTTTGAAATTCGTGTTTTTCGTGCGCCGATAAATCGCGCATTTTCACGAGCGTTTCACGCAACCTATTATTTTGTTGTTCCAATTGCTTTACTTCGTAGCTCGAAGTTCCCGTAGTTGATCCACCGCCGGCTGCCTAATTTGCGAAAATAATAATGTTATTTAAATATATATCAAATAAGAAAGAGAAGAGATACAAAAACTTTATAAAAATTAAATGAAATATTATACCCGTTCAGACATTTCTGTGCGTAATATCTCTAAATCTAATGTTTGTTCCTCCAATTTTTCCTTAAGTTGTTCTAACTCGATTTGAAGAGTTTCAGCCTTTTCTTCTGCCATTTCTTTATCTAATGTAGCCATTTCTACTGTTTCTGCAAGATCAGACATTTCTTCTTGATATTGTTCCCTTGCCACATGAGCTTCTCTGGCTTCTTGTCGAGCTCGTTGAAGTTCTCTTTGAAGGCTGGCCTTTGACAACATAAATAGAAATTTAAAAAATTTATCTTTGAAAATTAAAAAAGTAAACTTGTTAAATAAAGATCTTTACCGTATCTCTACCTATTATATATACTCACTTGACTTTCCATAACTTTGGCCTTAAATTCAAGAAGCTGTTCAACTTGAAGTTTCGTTTTTTCGAAATCTTTTATCCTTTCCTTGTCTTGCATTCGCTTTACACGCAGCGTTTCTACTTTCTCAGTAAGATCACGTACCTACAATATTGTATGTATATCATAATTTTACACAATAAGATAAATAATTTTATACGAAGGAACAGTAAAAAAAAAGATTAAAATTAATTGTAAACAAAATTTACCTGAGATTTTAAATTATCGTTTTCTTGCACAAGTTGCAAGTGTGACAATTTTTCTTCTACTAAATTTGCAGCCGCTGCTGAGCCTGCCATGACTTGACCGGGTACGAATTGCGGTTTCAATGTTTCTACAAAACCTGTCTGGATTACAGAAAGGGAAAAGAGTAAGATACATTTGCATTTTGTACCGTTGGGTGTTCTTTTTATTATCGCATAAAAGAATTGTGTGTCGCCAAAGAGTTCTTCAAAGTCCTCTGGACCTGTGTACCTGTGCTTGAAATGCATATACACACTAGGTATAACTAAACGGTATATGAATGGCGCAAACAAAGATAACGTAATTATTCTCAAAATGCGGCAATGAAAAAAACACCCCACATTACCTATATATGAGAATCCGTATATGATGTTACGATAATGCCGTTGTTTCTGTATTTACAATCGGATATTATAAAATTAGTCTGTTTCATGGTGATAAATGAGAGATTAGTTGCAATAGCAAAACACCAACAAGCTACACCGAAACTTCTATTAGTACTAACGAATATATAGAGGAAGATCCAGTTGATGAGTTGAATCGTGTTATGTGATACATTTACACAGGATATGACTAAAGTCAGAGCATTGATACTATCTTATCTATTAGGTCCTAACGACTTACACATGTGTTTATTTGCATATCCCCGTTAACTTTTAACAAATATAACTCTGAAAAAATTACTGATCAGGCAAAGCTACACCTCGAAGATATAACCCATCCGTGCTAAATGTTAGTATTATTATAAGCTTGTAACATAAACACGAGGGGAATTCAATTCCTAACTGTGGAAGGACGAGGCGATGCAGAACATACCTTCCCATTGTGTATCGTAAACTATCGAAGCATCATAGAACTCAGTTAATGAAGCTGATGTACAATTAAACATAATGATATGCAAAGAGTAAAACAAAATTAAGGGTCCTATTCTGTAATTTTTAACAATATTATTGTTTAACAATTGTCATTAATGTTTCCCAAACAATTTTTCCTTTTCTATAAATGATAACTGTTATTCACACAACATACATTAATAAAAAAATAATAAAATTGTCATAAACTCAACATAACAAACACCTTTCTCCAGGATATGCATTATGGAATTATTCGAAATGGATTCCGATCAGAATTATTCGATTATTAACTAGATTTTTATTATATTTTCTAGGAAAAACAAAATGATTCCCCGATTGAAATCCATTCCAACTTATTCCATGAAGTGTCCGGCTGTCGTTAAATTTACAACAATTTCGTCGCTATTTTGTTGTTGTAGAATAAAAAAGTTTTTTACTAACAACAATAGTTCAATAACATTGTTAAGGAATATTGTTACGGAATATGACCCTAACACGTCATTAATAAATTGATAATCCACTAAGGATGAACGGACGTATCCGTTAAAAGTGCAATGACGCTGTTTTTATTACGAAAAATATGTGTTGATGCTTTATGATCGACAAACAGCTAGTATGAGAAAGAACAAGATATTAGAAAGGTGATGTATTAAAAAAGTTGAGATATTACAATTAATGAGTATTAATTACATTATTTTGATCATCTTGGGCCTTTGGCTTTTTGCCGGGAGGCGAGCTCGTGCTAGGGGACTTCTGAAACACGTACGTGCATTCCCATATGAATCATTCTATGCCAATGGAATTCTCTAACTTGGTTTTACAAATTTACACTCCTTTTCTTTTAATTTTCGTCGTTAATTTCTACCTTTGTTCAAACACACTTTTCGGTCAGACGTGCACAATTATATTTAATTGGCCGAGTCACAGAATAGGATTCTTTGCACATGAATGTAAGAAACATACAAATACATAAAAAAAAAACCTATAAATTTGAAAATATCAGATCACCTGTTTGTTAGTCAAAAACGATGAAAATATATCATAAAAATACAGTAGTATTAGCTAATTTGTTCACATAGGAATTACATCATTCATCATATGTACGCCATAAATCTTCTGAATAACGTTCTTTTATAGATAATTTTTTTTGTTCTTACTACTTAATTGATATAAATAGTAAGATATAGAAAATATATAATATATATATTGATATAAAAGTAATTTATATACTAAAACATTACTAACAGTTTTTATAACAACTTATAGTACATCTTACCTCAACAAATGAGGCACGCTTCGAAGTCGATGTTGGTGCTGGGATTAATGATTCGCCGCCGTCTCTACGTTCGTGTAATGATCCAGTTAGGCTTTCTGTACTTGGGGCACTTAATAATGTTCTACTTCCAGATAAGGATAATCGAGAACTGTAAAAAATAACACGAAATAATTAATGATATTTAATACATTATATATTTTTTTACAGTACCCTCCATAAGTTTGGGAACACCCTACGTTTTTTAAGAAAGCCATTACATGACAGCGATCTATACATGTTTTTAGTTTAAGTACTTCATAAGACGTCTAAATGATGATAAACATTTATCTAGAACATCTATAAACTTATACATGCCAAAAATATGTTGGACAATCATTTCACAGCATCAAAGCGCTCAAGATTGAATTTCGTGCTTTGGTGTATTGTTTACATGTACATTCTCACTTGTTTTGCAACGTCGTACTTGTGTTCATTGTATATACACAAATCATTTAATTGTAGTTTAACGGTTTCTACAAAAATGATTAACTATTTGGATCGCAAGTTGATTTCAGACTCCGTAAAAATTGTAAAATGGCCCCAAAGAATTAGATTTCGTATGAATCACATTTTAATTAAAATTTCATATTTTAATAGCATGTTATTAAATCTTTAATTGAAAAAATACGAAATAAAAATACATACAGTTAGTGCAAAAAGTATTCATATAAGGAAAATATTTTTTAAAAAACTTTATTTTTAAAAAAGTAAATATTATCCAGCGAGAAATGAGTCATCGAATTGATGTCGAATCGATTTCGATATGTTGATTCGACGTTTAATTGATAATCATTTCTTGGTGGATAATTAACAATTTATTCATAAATAATAAAATAGACTATATGTTTCTTAAAATGATATATACCAAAAAGTATTAATTATAGAAAATATATTATCTGAAAAATAAGCGAAAATTAAAAATTCTATTGTTTGATCAAAAAGTACAGTCGAGAAATTTAGCTTCTAAAATTAGGAATACATGCGAAGCTCGTTTGTTTATGTTAAAACAGAATCTATTCATTGTAAAAAATTGCTAATTAATGTTTATTTTTTACAAATAAGACTTTTTTTATAAAAAATTTCCTTGTACAAATACTTTTTGCTTTCACTGTATATACGTACGTTATAGATAATGTACGTATATATGTACTTTTATTTCGTTTTTTTTTTAAATTAAATAATTATTTATAAACTTGTAAAACGTAGAGTGTTCTCAGATTTATGGAGGGTACTGTATATACATTTGCTGTGCTAAGCTGGCCGCAAATCAATCGCGATGGAAATTCTAATTTAAATTTATATTATTTATATTAAAATAAAGAAATAAAGACTTGCACGTAAAATAATAAAAATTGCAATAAAAATATTGTAACAATATATTCGCATAATTATATGTCCATAAAAAGTTTTGACACATTATGAAAAATATGAAAAAAATATAAATATCTTATAAAAATGCAAATTTAAATTAAATTAATAAATAAAATAGCTTGCAATATTCAGCAATGCAATTTTCATGTCACGATAACAAGCGCAACAGAAATAATCGCTAATTGTTTATTAACTGAAAATAAATACGCATATTGTAAAAGCTCCATAACAGACATATTGACAACTTGTTTGTGCTTTAAGACTGCAGAATGCTTTAGATGTTCAATGGGAGATTGCAGTTGGCATTTTGACAGAGTAATTATGAGGTAATTGTGATTTTCTATAAGCAGTAAAAATACACCTTGTTGACATAAATTTTGTTTGCTAAAATTTAGCTTGCAGTAATCTTACCTAGAAAGTTTGTCAGTTTGCTGGCGAGTAACATTCGCAGGAGATGTTTTTCTCCGTACACTTTTATGAGCAGCATATAATTATATTTAAGAATTTATTAATTACATACTCGCCTATTCGCCTATTTATTTATATAAGAAATATCAGAAATTCTAAGGGAAAATAACGAAACATTTTTTTTACATTTTGATATTATCACAAAATGAAAAACTTACGCTGTAGGCTCATTCCTTCGACGCATACTAATGCTAGCATGAAAATTGTAAAAATAAATAATTTTTAATATTTTTTCTTTTAAATTTATAAATCACACTGAATTCAACAATGGACAGATTACTTGTTTATACAAATCTGGAGCCACTGTAGTGTCTCGGCGCAAAGCCAAGCGCATAAATTATACTCTGTTTAATTCTACTTTACATTTTAAAAGATGGTATATTATTAAAGGTGTCAAAATACTATACAGCATTTATATTTAAATGTAAGACTAGAATAATTATTATTTGTAGTACGCTGATAATATTTACAATTTACTATACTTGTTATAGAAAAAATTATATATATTTTTTATTTAAGAATGTTTCTTTTTTAAATCTAACCAAGATTTTTCAATGCAATCTGACATTTAAATTTGACAACTTACCTATTTAATCGACTCCTGGCTCTAGCGGCGCTATCATCAGGTGTCGTGGCATTACTGCCTGCAGATGATGGGCTAACTGGCTCAGTCCTATTGCCAGCCTCGTCCAATAGAATAAGTTGCGTTTGGCGTGCAAACATACCATGATTCTCTGCGCACTGCGACAATAAAAATATACTTTTATGTTTAATATTTGAAGAAAGTGAGAAAGAGTTCTAGTGCAACCTAGTAGAAGATTAAAAAAACAGATCTACTGCTATAACATAATCTTGAAACATACAGCATAATCCTACTCTAAAGTCTAACATCATCGTCGAACGGTTAATTTTGTAATTTCATATATGTAACTTTTAGTACTGTATTCTAATGTAATGCAAGTGTGACTGAATTCGCTGTAACAATATTAGTTCTTTCTCAGAAAAATAAATATAATTGTCATTGATTGTATACAAACTGTTAAATTCCAATTAACTTAATCAGTGATAATTTATCAAATAATATTATTTCATTAATATTAGAATTATCTTTTGTCATTCGACACTTAAAAAAACAGATTATAAAGACAACAAGTGACATATAATTTAAAATTTTTTTACTTCAAGCAATTCTGCCAGTTGAATCAATCGTCGATGTTAATCGGAGTTTGGTCGAAATCACCCTTAATAAATATCGGCATGTTTCTTTGTTGATTTACCTTAAAGTACATCTGTCCCTTGACACTACCGTTGTTCTTCCCCTTCGGTTCGTCGAGTATCACGCCGATCCATTTACCCGACGCAAACGTTGGATAACCGATGTAGGCGATCACGCCTTGGCATTCCTTCACGGGGACCTCGACGCGTTGTCCGATTTTGAATGACATCTCTGTATCCGTCAACCGAGATTCGCCCTAGACGAACGCATTAACCTGTACGCGCGATCCGCGCGATTTCTCTCGATTCAGTGTCGCTCGCAGTTCTACACACAGAGTAATATTTGATTTGTGACAGGACAAATTGAGTGCCACGAGTTTCTAGATTCTCGATCGAGCTCCAATGAATCTCTCCAAGAGTGTCCAAGACAGGACGTGCCGTCCACGTCGAAGTATAGTCGATGTTGGTCAATGTTATGCCGCTCCGAAATCCGATATCACTAATCACAGTACGGCGCTGACACTGCTGACAGTAGTGACAGAACGACTGTGACAGTAGACTATTGTGACGTCATTATGGTTGTGCATTGCCAGTGAAAAGGGAACATATAAGTAACATACCGATCTAATGGATATTCTTCAATTCTGGCTCTTATTAGCATAAACACACATCACATTCATTTTTGACACTACGATTTTATCTGCAGTTTACAAAATAGACGTGGCACGGACTGTTGCCAAGTCTGTTCAAAATAATTTTATATTGTGATTTTTTTCAATATCTTAGCTGTAATTTGAGCTTTTTTTTTGTATTTTCCTCTTCAAAAATTACCCGAAAATTCTCTTAAATTTTTTATATCTCCAAAAAATTTCTTCCAGTAAGAAGAAAAAACTTCCAAATCTGATTAAAATTCTACTAAACAATACTAAAAATAATACATCATACGCATCATATGTGAAATAGAACATACCCTTAGACAGCCAATCAGACAACCATATTGAAAAATAATGGCGGTGATGACTAACCTAACCGATTCAACGACGCCTTTAATTCTTTGAGATCTCTAGGATTCCATTCTCGTAGTAGTATTTCACTGACGGGATTTGTTAATTTATTTTCGTATGTTCTTGTATTCTGATACAGTACAGAAAGAATCGCTCGTTATGGCCCGTTATTATTCATGCTTTCGCTTATAATAATGCAGTGAGAGAGATTGTTTGAATTGTTCGTGCAAGTTGTAGACGACAATGGCTAACCATTATGAGGTTCCAAACTGGTATGTTTCAAAGCTTCCTCATTTGCAACGTAACTTGATCATTCGATTCTGTTTATTGTTTACGCAATCGCACATTCCGAATTGTCTGTCATCATGCGCGGCAAAGCTGGCAATATCTGGCGATACATTGGATATATTTCAATCGTGTTCTGATACTACCAGTGCTAAAAATCTAGTATACGTAATGTAAACGATAGATTTTCAGTATGCACTGGCAGTGTATATTGGAACATAGTTTTCGTGTATACACATTAATTCATAATCTCTTTCAGGGCTGGTAAACCACCAGTGGGGTTGCATCTGGACGTATTAAAGAATGACAAGTTGATACAGGTAGGGACAATACAAGATACACATCAGCTATATCTTTAGTGACATATCATTCCCTTGGAATTCTATTATTAGAGCGCATTTGAAAACACTATTTGAGTACCTCCAAAGATATGTTCTATTTGATGTTCACAATGCTCATGGAAATCATATTATCCTTGTTGTTTATCAAATGCTAAACAAGGATAAATAATACTTGCAAGCGTTGTAAGCAAATGGAGCATATCCTGAATATAATTTTATCCTTGTTTAACATTTGATGAATAAAGTGACATTGTTAACATTCGGATAGTATTTTCAAATTGTAGTTTTTCTCGCATGAGTTGGAGGTCAATTATGTGCCTCGAAACAAGGTGAAAATTATAGAAATGAGCAAATTTATTAGGTGTTGATAAATAAAATTATAAATATTCTAATAAATTCACTCATTTTTGTATGATATATAATTGAATCAATTGTATGAACCAAGTGTCACATAGACCCTATTTTATTAGAAACTCATGGTGGATGAAAAGAAGTGTTATCTATTTGGCCGCAATCAACAGTTGAATGACTTCTGCATTGATCACGCGTCTTGTTCTCGTGTTCATGCGGCTCTCGTTTATCACAAGCATCTGAATCGAGCATTTTTGGTTGATCTAGGAAGTAGTAAGTACAGTGCTTATACTGGTGCTAAGATATAGGCTGTGTTTGATTTGAATGATTTGGTCTTTTAGTTTTCAGCACTTTCATCCGTATTTTACATCTACTAATTAAATAATAAAGACAGATTAATGATTTTAAAGCATGTAAGCGATTAAATCAAATGCAGTCATACTCTTCTTTTAAGAAAGATTTTTAATTAAAATTGAATATATAAAGTTTATATAATAAAGTTCTCTTTTTTTTTAAATAGATTGGAAAGTTGGTGTTAACTCATTTCTATCCATTGTTGTATTTCTTAAACAGTATCTTTTTAATTTTGTCTTCATATATATACATATATATAAAATCCATATATATAAAGAACTGAAGAAATGCTCTGTATATATATATAGAATATTTATATGTGGAGAAAGAAATTAAAAAGATGCTATCGTTTAAATAGTACGGGAAGAAATGGAATTTAAGAAAAAGATTGTTTTAATATTTATATTTTTATTTATAAGATATTTATTTATAAAATTATTTGAAATTTATTTATAGAAAGTTTATAATATATTCTTTTAGGATTATGTTATGCATATTTTTAAGCAGATGATGAGTTTGATAATTTTTTTCAGCACATGGGACCTTTATCGGAAATCTACGTTTGGAAGCACATAAACCGACTCAGTTACCAATTGACAGTACATTTCACTTTGGGGCATCTACTCGATATTATATAATAAGGGAAAGACCTCAAACTGGTGCCCGACCAATCATCGAAGAATTGGAGAAATTATCCGAAGATATGGACGCTGGTGGTTTGCTGGGATTGCCAGAAACAGAAACAGAATTAGATGTGTGTATCGAATATTTGATATATTATATTAAATTGTTAAAATATTTTAATTTTCTGCTAAATGTGAATCTATTGTAATTTTCAGAATTTAACAGAATTTAACACGGCTCATAATCGACGGATCTCTATGCTTGGCATAACAGATGACGAAATGCATAAACCAACGCGTAAACGAAAGAAAAAGGGAATCACCTTCAATGATGACGAAGAAGTAATCAATCCGGAAGATGTTGATCCTTCAGTCGGAAGATTTCGTAATCTTGTACAAACGACAGTTGTTCCTAGTAAGGTGCGCTATTTGCAAGGTTCTCAGGAGAAATAATTGCATGATTACAAAATTGCTTGACTTAATATTAAATAACAACTAAATAATTATAACTAGCTGTAACTTTAATTTCATATTAAAGGAATATATTTCGTAATTACAGAGAATGCGTATGGAAGGTGGTCTTATATCCTTGATGGAAGATCACAATCCTCTGAAGCACATGCAACCCACGTCTACCACTCCGCAACTCTATCACGATTTACCTCCCGAGCAGTTTACACCGTCTTCGATGTCTTCGATAAATCCGTTTTCTACGGCTCTTACATCACGGCTTGGCATCGCGCTACCTAACCCGGCACCCGAGGTGGAGATGACGCCGAATCAGATACAGACGGAAGTGCCGCATGTGCAAGAGCACATACCAGGCACGACGGAGCCGCGAGTAATGGAACCGAAGAAAAAGAAATACGCCAAAGAGGCATGGCCTGGGAAAAAACCAATACCAACGCTGCTTGTATAATAGAATGAATTACTCATATGTATAGTAACATGTACATTATAATATAGTCTTAGTTCATATATATATATATATATATTGTATATATATATATATGTATATATATATATGTTTTATTTTCCAATAGAGCTGTACCTTCATCCAAGGATTGTTCATACACTACATATGATTTACATACAATTTTTCGTCAGCTCCGTTATATCAACTAGGGAATGAAAGTTACAGTTACAAATTACTTTTTTAGTAATTTTACTGGTAACGTTCCTTTTTTTCTTTGGTAACTGTAATGATAACGAAGTTACCACTTATATTTTTTTGATAATAATAACAAATTTTACAATTACATTTATCGTTACTTTGCACACGATTAGACACAAGCCATTCATAGTGAGACTAGAAAGGTTGCTCGTCCGCTGTCATTGATGGTCGGTGATTCTAAAAAAACGAATGGAAAAGTAACGAAAAGTTACTTTCTCAAGTAACGGTAACTATAATGAGTTATTTTTAAAAATTTCTAACAATTCTAATTTCTTATTAACTAACGACGTAATAACGATTCTCTTAGTGCTCAGAGTCACATTATTGCATATCGTAAAAAAAATTGCCGTGAAAAACCGCCAAATTGAAAATCGCTGTGAAAAAATTCCTTCGAGAACCGCCGAGAAATCGTCGCAATATTCTATCGCGACCGAGTAAGTTAATTCGAAAAAGATAGTGTGTAAAAATTTTCTGTAAAATCAAAAAATGGTGTGCACCAAAAAATATGTGCGAATGCACCGCGATAACGAATAAAGCAAGAGGACGGCACACGGCTGGCTCAAGAGTTTAAAGATTAATGTTTCTTTTTCTTTGACAAAAAAATCAATTTATTCTTTACTGAAATAAACTTTGCACAAATTGAAGAATTTACAGAAAATTTTTACACACTATCTTTTTTTACACACTATACTCACTCGGTCGCGATAGAAGATCGTGACGATTTCTTGGCGGTTCTCGAAGGAATTTTCTCACAGCAGTTTTAGACTTGGCGGTTTTTCACGGCGGTTTTCTTTACGATATATAATAACGTGATTCTGAGAGAGCAACTAAAGACGTAATAACGATTACTAACTTGTTACTTTTTCTACTTGGTAACGAGTAACTTGTTATTTTTAAAAAGTAACTTTCCTTTCCCTGATATGATAATTATATTAAATTTATTTTAATTATCACTGAACCATAGAATTATGAAATTTTGGCTGATTATCATGATTTGATGTAAACGTTAATAGAACTCTCTAAAGAAATTTATGAATCACTTGAAGAATGTCAATGAAGTATTGTAATCTACTAACGCAACAAATGCATTCAGTAGTTAACAGTGATATTCAA